TAGGAGACGTTTGAGGCCGTTGGGTCTGGGAATGCGGCGGTTCTGTCAGCCCAGAGTCAGCGTGGTATTGCTTCTGGGAGAAGTCCCAGCCCCCACCCAATCAGTGAAACAGCGCAGAAAGCTCAGGAAGGCACAGCTCTCCTCTCCCCGCTGCCCAGTCCCTGCTACCTCGAGTCTCTGCTGCGGGGCCATCGGGTCTGCCCTCAGCTGGGGAGTGGTTCGACTGTGTGAGGGCACAGCAGTTCCAGGCTGTGCTGAAGCAAAGGCCAGGTCGCATCGCAGAGCCTGACCTGTGTGTCCCTTTGCTTTTTTAAGCCTAAGTCACGTGATTTCTGAAAACTGGAATCGAGTAAAAGTTTAATCTAGATTTGATTCCCAGACTTGAATGTAACAATTTGATGATTGTTCTTATTTCTTCCTGGGAGTTCATTTTTCTTCTCAAGAAAGAAGCCAAGCCTATATTCTTTTTCTTCTTCTGGGAATCTATATTTTAAAGAGAAAAGAAAAAGTTACTCCCTTAAGGGTGTTTTCTTAGAGAGCACGTCGGCTTCTTTTAAATGACAAACCTGAGACACAGGTGAAGAGTAATTCTGCTTCCTGCTTTGTGTACACCTTTCGCTCTCGGCTCAGGGCCTAATTGTCTGCATCAGTCTTAATTTACTCCGCGTGATCCGGACTCCGATCTGAGGGTATTTGGCGTGCTCGGATGTGCCAATTAAGTCCACCCAGATAGACCATAAACAGGCAGATGAAAGTAAAACACTGAGTGTCTCAATTTAGCAAATTAGACTACTCTGGAAGGGATTCTTAGCTGTCTGAAATAGAAAACCTACTGCACTGCAGAAATGCAAACGATATTAAATACCCCGCTTGGTGCCTGAATGTATTTTTAAAAATTAAATTGTACTCATCATGCTTCTGTTGTAGAATTTGTTTCACGGATATTGCAATAAAGGAGAATGATTTCGAGGTGGATGCTTCAGTCTGTATTAAGGACAACTAACGGTGTGATGTGTGGCTCTCCCTTACAGTCAGTGTAGTTCTCAGCTACCCTTGCCACGTAAAAACACAGAACTCAAGAAGTAAGGCCAGTTTTTTTTTTTTTTTTAAAGAGAGATTATTTTTTGCTATAGGGTGCATGTGCTCACCAGAGAGACAGAGAGAAAGTGAAAAATCAACCCCTGGGGGGCTGGGCACACATGCACACGCGCCCAGCCTGAGTTTCAAGCCTCCAGGTCAGGGACTTGAACCGCAGTTGGCCCTGTGGGAGTTCAGCGATGTAACTGTTATGTCATCTGCTGGTCCCAGTAGGGCCAGTTTTGAGTTTCAAGCACCTCTATCTCTGACTTTCTTGAAATTTTGGGGGCCTGTTCATGTGATAGTAAAGGATGTCAGGCTACAAGGGTTGGATGGTTCCCACTGACAGGCACATCTCGTATGTCCCCTTTGTGGCTTGGTATAGACAGTTGTGTGCGTGGGTTTGTCTGGTCTGCGGTTGCTTAGACAACGTGATCTGTAGTCCAAAGAAGTGCTAAGCGGATTCTGCTCCTAGAGGAATGTTTCAAGTGCCCAGTGAAGAGTAAGTTTGGACTTACCATGCACAGCATTGAGGCGGGATGTAGTTAAGTTTTTATACAAAAATGAAGGTACT